GCTCCTCCACCGGATTTGCAGGAGGACGAATCCAGGGGACCCTTTCCTTGTCCCATTCCCAATTTTTTCATCCAGTTAGCCATGCCTACGGACATAATACATATTTTACATCCAGTTTGGGCGCATACCGGTGGAGTGAATGCCCGGTACAGTAATTCACACGCCCGGTTCATGCCCAAACCGGGCGTTCGAATTAATTTTTTTTTTTTTATTAATTCAATTATGTTAATATAATTAATTTAAAATATGTATTATGTTTGTAGGATGTCTAACTGGATGAAAAAATTGGGAATGGGAAAAGGAAAGGGTCCCCTGATTCGTCCTCCTGCAAATCCGGTGGAGGAGAGTACTGCGGAACGGGAGGGCAGAACGCACAACCGTAATGTGACCAGTTCTAAACGTCGTGGGGAACGGACTGGTGCTTTTGTACAACCACGTATGACGATTGAGGAGGAGGAGGAGGAGACAGAGGCAGAGCCCGAGCAGGAGATGGATACATATATGGATCACCACGAGGACGAGTACGATCCAGGACTACGTTTTTTCAGCAGAAGTATCAGTTCCCGGTGCCTGATTTGCCATCCGATGATGATGACGAGGACGGTTTGACTCCGCCTCCGCCTCCGGCTTATACAGTGGCTGGTACTTCCGGTGGTTCTACTCCTGCCCCAAACCCGAGGTCCCGGCCCGGTCCGAAAAAAACTCTTCCTACTCGACCGTGGAAGTTGATTGGTGAGACACCCGGTGGACCAAAATACCCTCATTTGATTCCGAGTTTTGGAGCCCATATTGCCTACGACATCTGGGAGGGAAAGGTAATAGTTATTAATTTTAATAAATTTTGTTTAAAATGTTTATAGTTGATTTTTCTATTCTTAAATATCAATATATCTTCAATAGGGCCGACATATGCTGAAGTTGCGGTCTCATGGAAAGTCTACTTGGCCAGGGCCCGACGACTATTATAGTGTTTCACTACTGGAGAGTACCGGGTTGTATCACTTGCGTTATTGTTCGCTCCCTCAGCACAATAACCCGTTGATAGAGGCTTGCCGTTTGGAGAGATGACAATTACTCTCCACGATGTGCACTATATCATGCATTTGCGAGTTAGTGGAAAGCGCCCTAACGTTTGGATTGATAAGGCAGATGCGATTTATGCAGGTGCGAGAGCGTTCGGTGTCGAGCCCCGGGATATGGCGAAGTGGTATGGCGGCGGATCCCAGTTAGATGATTTGGATAGGATGTATGGCGACGATTCTTCATTTGCTTCCGAGTTTCGGGTACGAGCATATATTGCGTACTTGCTTGGAAAGCTATTGTTTGTCGATAAGAGTGGATCGAAGGTGAAAGCATATTTTTTCCCACTTTTAGAGCATATCGATATGATTTCCGACTATTCCTGGGGTTCGGCTACATTGGCCTATTTGTATCGACAATTGGGCATGGCTACGCGTGCTGAGGCGGCGCATATGGGTGGTTGTCTGACATTGTTAGAGGTAATTTTTTATTTGTAGTAACCCCTCAATTTTTTCTTTTATTAATATCCCCAAAATGTTATGTTTAATATGCCGTATCATTATTTTTATAGTGTTGGATATATGAGTATTTTCCGTGTTTTCGGCCTCCGATGGTTAACGCACATGTGAATGGAGAGCCCTGGTGTAAGAGGTGGCAAGTGATACATCATATCCCTAAAGACGAGGATATACTTGTAGATTATCGTCGACGTCTTGATTCTATGGGTGCGTCAGATGTAAGTATCAAGTTTAAATAAATTAAGATTTATATATTTACTATGTTTATTAATACATTTCTATTATTAATATATATGCACAGGTGAATTGGACGCCATTTGGAGTGAATGTGTCACGTGAAGTTGAAAAGACGTTTCATCACAGGACTATTCGATGGATGGATACGGTAGAGCCTTACATGCCCGATAGAGTTTTGCGTCAGTTCGGATTTCGGCAGATTAAACCGTCGGACCCTATTCGTCCGCTAAAAGGTGCTAAGATGGAGAGAAAATTAGCATCTTACAAAATTAGCTACGAGCCTGGCGATCAGATGTGGAATATCCCTCACACGCACATGCTTAGTGAAGATTATTATGGTCATTGGGCGCGTCCGGCTTGGGAGTCGACACCGGAGTATTTGCCGTGGTATCTCGACCACACCCACGTCCGTATACATCCTAGTACCGAGCCGGTTGAGAGAGCGGAGCCATCTGCAGTTCCGTTTGTGTACGACATCACCCGGGTGTTGCATTCCTACTTCTACAATAACTTGCCACCGCCGACTATTCCAGGATTTCGACAGATTCCCGATGACTTTTTCAGGACGATCCAAGACATGTGCGCCCCATTCGCCGAGTATCTACAGTTGGATCGTCCTAATGCTTCTGACGAACAAGACGCATGATACTCACATATGCGACATTCTCAGCGCATGCGTCGGACGAGAGATATGTAGGTGTTCATTTTTTATGTTTTTATTATTCGAACTTCTTTGATGTTGATGTTTTTTGCTTTGATTTGGACTTGTTGATGTTTTGTGTTTTTTATTTGGACTTGTTGATGTTTTGTGTTTTTGATTTGGACTTGTTGATGTTTATTTGATTTGGACTTGTTGATGTTTTGTGTTTTGGATTTGGACTTGTTGATGTTTTGTGTTTTTGATTTGGACTTGTTGATGTTTTGTGATAATAATAATAATAATAATAATAATAATAATAATAATAATAATAATAATAATAATAATAATAATAATAATAATAATAATAATAATAATAATAATAATAATAATAATAATAATAATAATAATAATAATAATAATAATAATAATAATAATAATAATAATAATAATAATAATAATAATAATAATAATAATAATAATAATAATAATAATAATAATAATAATAATAATAATAATAATAATAATAATAATAATAATAATAATAATAATAATAATAATAATAATAATCTCCGGAACCACAATTACCATCCCCTAGAACGTCCGTCCAGGTCACAATCTCCGGAACGAGGCAAAAATGAAGTTCTCGCATCCAACTAGGTCGGGGCATTCGTCCCATTTCGGGTCCACTCACAGTCGATGAACGACCACGAGATCTCTCAGAAGATGAACCACGGCCTCTGTTGCCTCTTGATCGTCCTCGTCCTCGTCCTCGTCTCGAATTTTCTTCGCCCGGGTATAATGGCAACTCATGCCCTGACTCATCCCTCTGTGTGGAGTTGTTCTGCGGTCTACCTCTAGGGCGATCCAGTACTGGTGGCTCATTTATCTCCGTTGCCCCAGGATGCATTCGTTCAAAAACGACATCTGCTACGTCCGTGATCTCAATTTCTGAACGTTCACGCAACTCTTCAATTAACCCGTCTAGCCTGCCAATAGCCTGTGACCTGTGATCGGGAACAGAACCAACACTTTCTTCTTGGCCAGGCCCGAATCCCGAAACCCATGTCCTCCAAAAAATGTGGACATCCTCAGCATAAAACACACCACGTCGTGTATTCACCTTTGCGTCAATTTCATGTTTGCATGGGAGGGCAAGACATTTCCTCATGTAACAGACGCAACTGTCTATATCTTCATCCTTCTCATCGTCCAACATGTGCAGTGCAGAATGTGTTACAATTCCACTGGATAATATTTTAAATACGGGCACATTAATCGTCTGGGCCCGAATCCGCCTTGACTTCGCAAATTCGGCCAGAATCTCGTTAAGTTGATCTGCAATCTGTGTGTGATACTGTGCCCAAAATGTGTCAAAGCCACCTGTGGACGAAGCCAACCATCTCTTCAGCTCTATGGTTGCTCTCCACCCTAATATGATTAAAGTAGGTTATGTTTCAGTAAACAACATCACAGTAAGTTAAGTATATGTATTTAACCACTGATAAATAAATACCTGCTTGTCGATGTATTGCCCAGTTGAAAACCCCAATCCGTCCATGCTTTTACAAATTTCTCTTTGTATATCAGCCAAGTGTCTTGGAGGTACTCAATCAACTGTGGATGATTCGCGTAATCGTCCACTAAAACTCTGTAATTCCGGTAGAAATCTTCTTCACACACTGATGTTACCAAAGTTTGCCACGAACCGACTACAAAAGCAAATCCTCGACGCCTACTATTGCCAAAACACTTTGAAGCACGACGCCCCACATTCGTGTTAATGTGCCAAAGACATAATAGATGAGGCTCTGTTGGAAATACATTCTCTATCGCCTTTAAGAGCCCTTACTCGCGATCAGTCACGAGTGCACTAGGTAGAGTATGTGGGGGGAAAAGTCTCTTCAACCTTTGCAACACCCATGTATTAATTTTCTTCATTTTCATGGCGCATAAATACCACTCCAACAGTAAAAAAAATTCCGACAGATGTAACACCAACAATCTCCAACAAAGGCAATTTGTACTGATTAGTTTTGTAAGTACTGTCAAGTAGTGTAACGTACGGAAACTTACTTAACAATTCGACAGATAGAGGGTGAGCCCACATCAAATCGATAACTGCATGTGTCGTTTCATCTGTACGGAACCACTTGTAATAGTTATGCTCCTCAAGCAACCCAATCAAATGTTGCATCACTGTACGGTCACCCCTAGCTTATCTTCTCAATTTCGCCTTTTCATTGTATATTTGTTTCGAATAAGCATCGAGACCCAAGCCATTTTGTCTCAAGTTAGCCAAAATCTTCTTGGGCGGCACATGACTTTGTGAAAGATCCTTGATAATCTTCGACTCCGCTTCATTCAATGCACTAAGCCCATGCCCAGGCATGTATATCGGAATATGATATGCTTCCCATATACTATTCTGAGCCCCCATCTATCGTCCAACCGCCGCTCTCCAACGATTTGAAAACCACATTTTATTTTTTTGCTACCAGACCTTTTCGAGGACGCCTCTACGTTACTTTCTCGAGGCCCTCCGAACAGGTCACAAGTCAGACACACTTTCTTTATTTTGGGGGCACTTTTTTTAATTAATCTCACAAAAAGAGCTCTTGAAACGGAGGTAGCCCAAGCCACTAACTCGTCCCCCGAGTCAAACAATTCAGTTGTTGTAAAATAATCAGTATGATCAACTTCAACTCTAGACGTATTATCCTGAAAAAAACATTAAAAGATTATTTAAAAAAAAAAAATATGATTTAAACCGGACGCCCAACTTGGGCGTGTACAGCTTATTTGGGCGCCCAAGTTGGGCGTTTGGACTATTTTTCGAGTTTTTTCGATCGAGAAGACGGAATTTTTACCTCGTTAGATCCGCTATCACGATCTTCATCCGATGAGCTCATTTTTGTTCGTATATCACACCAACAAGAATGATTTTTAAGCAAATTCTCTTCAAAAGCTTCTTTTTCTAGAGAGATAGAATATTTTAATAATAACCGCAAATAGCAATTTTACAACCGCGAAAAGCAAATCCCTGGGTCCATTTTTTTTTCACCTCTTTGAGATAAATCCATAATTTAATTTTAAAATATATAGTACAATTATACCCTCCACCAAAACCGCCCAAATCTCATGCCGTTTAACCCTAGCCACGTTATCTCTCCGTCACTCTTTCTCTCCATCCATATTTCCCTCTCTTTCTTCCGTTTTTCTTCTCTCGGCGGCCGAAATTCGATATGTCCATCTTCCCCATCCACCCACTCTTTCTTCCGATTTTCTTCTCTTGGCGGCCGGAATGAAGGACCATCATGACATAAAACGGAAGAGAAGACATAACCAGAAAAAAGGTACGTATTTGTGGGGAATTTCATTTTGTAGCAACCCTTTTATTTTCTTATTAATTAATGCTTTGGGGAAAAAGAAAAAGAAAATAAAAAATCATTACCTCTGTTCAGAAATTCATTTTTCATATTTGTAAATTAATCGAAGATTCGGTAATGGCAGCTATGAAGTTCACAGGTAGTACAATGATGCTCGCTCGCTCGATATTCCGACCCACACTTCATCCCCAAATACCCCTCCGTTTATTCCGGACCAATCTGCAGCCGGTCACCGGTTTTGGTGCTTTCCGGTGCGCGGCGACTAAATCCGGCGGCAAGGAGAAGAAGTCTCCGGCCCGGCTTGCTGAGGTTCAGCGGCTCTTGTAGCAGGCCGAGGAGCGCTACAAAGCTGCTGGAGGTGGTGTCGAGCCGATTCCCAAAATATCACTAGGTAAATTCAATTTATTTTTGAAATTATTTTTTTAATTTGTCGTGTTTGATAATTATATTTCGATTCGATTGTAGTTGTAGTTGTAGTTGTTTGAACACTAAATTGAATTACTGTGTTGTACTGGATTTTGATTGTTGATGATTGGTAGCATTAAAAGTTCGATTGAACCACTTTTTATGTGTATACACTATCCAGTTAATCCTCTTCATAAGAATCGATCGTTTTAATTTCATTACGGTGTGTTAAAAAAGATAAAACTTGATTCACATGAATAACTTTGTGATAACGGTGAATGAGTGCAAAAATTCTTCTTTCAAACATGTTTTGGTTTTGAAATTTGATGATTTTTAGTAAGGAATACAATACGAATTAATAAGGTGAAACACTAAATATTATCGAAAATTTCATAATTTCCAAAAATATTTTCAAATTTTTGAAAAAAAATTTCTGAAAATTTAGAATTATAATTGATTTATTGTATTTTTTAGCTGCAATTGGCTATTGTTTGGCTGCTATTTTTTGCTGCTGTTTTCTTTTGGCTTTGCTGCTGTTTGGCTCCTAATTTGCAGCTGATGTTTTGTTGTTTTGCTGTTTTGCTGTTGTTTTCGTGTTGCTTTGCAACTGTTTAAGATGTTGGTTTGCTGCTGTTTTTGTTGCTGTCATTTTTTCTCTATATCCATAAATAAATTCTATATGATGCATGGTTAACAAAATAGAAGTGACAACTAGTCGAATTGTTAAATGAGGTATTATATATATGAGATTTTCAATATACTTTTGAGGTTCCTTCATGTTTTCGGTCACTATTTGAGTATTTGTTATTACACTTTTGTTGTAATTTTTTAGTGGATTAACTTATTTCGTAGTGGATTATGTTAATATTTTAGTGGATTTCGATAATTTTTGTAGTGGGTTTTGACGAGATTATAGTGGATTTTAAATTCTTGCTTTGGAGACCGATTTTTAGTGAATGAATTAAATTGACACGGTGTTGTCTTATTTTCTTTGGTTTAGGTTCTTGTACAAGCGGGAGATGGCAGCAAGTGGGACGATGTTTGAGTAATGATAAGTTTGTAGTGTTTATCACCGGGTTACTCTATCCTAACGAAAACCACGAGCAACACTACCATAAATTCGGAAGCTTGTAGTGGATTTTGATAAGTTTGTTGTTGATGCATAAGTGTTTTTCTACGATAAGTTTGTAGTGGATTAAACATATATTACGTTAA